TTTGCCGGTCAAGAGGAAACAGCTGCTGCGGTCACTTAAATGTGACATTTCATTAAATTTCATCCTGTTCATTCATGCATATCATGCAAAATACACGGTTCAGACAGCTCACAAGATCAATTTTCTGCAGCCAATTTTGAGCACAGAAAGCTTTTTAAAATGCATGAAAAATTGATCAGGCTGCAATCGCTACCAGCTGCTTATCTGAAAATGTAAGTCTAAGAACGAGCTTCTGGATTACTAAAACAGTCCAAATATCCATCCTTCGGCCATCTTCCAATTTGAATTAGACCCATGTAATCTCATTCAAGAAAAACTAAACCAAGAAATACTGGAGCAATATTTTTGTGGGCTCTTAAGAAATCATATTCGCCCTCTCCAAGATCACTTGAGAGAAAAGCTAAAGAAAATCTGATTTCGTGACATGCTAAGCATGTAATCTCAGTATAGTGTGGCAATTGGAAGATTGATTTTCTAAGCCATAAATTTCGATTCATACGGGGACAGTAGTATATGAGTCACGCAATGGCACCACAATAATATGCCGCTCTGTAAATCACGCAAGACTGGATTTTTCGTCCATGTGATAATAGTGTTATTAACAGTAATAGCAATAATAATGGTAATAATATCAACGATGATAATATTAATAATAGTAATGTTAACGTCAATAATATTAACATTAACAATAATAATGATAGTAATAGCAACAATATGTAATAGGACTGTTATATTAAAAGATATGCCTGAAACTAACTGCTGTTTGAGGTGTCATAGCTACCGGAAAATATGCAGCAGCCGCTGATTGTGCCGCTGCTAAAGTTGCTTGTTGTTGCAACAGCTGAAACGAAAGACAGTGTATCCAGAAGAAAATGTACGACTAAGAAGAAGCTGCAGAGAATCTCCATGTGCTGCTGTACTCAAATCGTTAAAACTGGACACATTCAGCATCTGGAGGCAACAAAATTTCGCGCACTACTATGAAAGGTCGGTTCTTGAGTCAGATAGTCATTATATTTTACTGTGTTCTCTGATTCTGCTGCGCATAGACAGCAAATCATGAGTTGCTAGGAACTGCCAATGATAATCAAATAACCAATAAATTTGTGTTATGCTCAATTTTTAATACCACTTAGAAGTCAAGAACACGATTCCATCATTAAAAAGTTTGATCCAGTATTTTTACTGCTAATATTTCATATGTAACATTAGCTTTTGAAGTATGAAAAATGCCAGTTCAGAATCGGTAAAACTTTGGCTTTCAAAAGAATTCTGATTCCAAAGAATTCTGATTCCATCGAAAAAAAAAAACTTCAGAACTACATGTACAGCCGCAACTCGCTAATGATAAACTATTTTAGGCACCATCCTCATTTTCTGATATTGGTAAAATTTGGAATAGTTTATCATAACTAGCTACGTATTTTAAACATGTCTAAATCCGTCTTATTCAAGTTTATTAGAGAAACCATGTCCGAACTCTAGGTTCTACGCACTGTGCAACCAAACATTTGTGAGGCTCAGTACATGTTATGCAGCAGTTGTCGCGATTATGGTCCTTTCTCGAAAACTGTTCTGGACCGGCACGAAATCGAACCTCATCGCATTCGGACACAACATGTTACCACTATACCACCAGTCTTTATGCTCTAGGTTCAGCCTCGCAGCCCATCTACTGTGTATCTGCACTCAAAGCAAAATACACTTTTCTTCTCTCTCTGCAATGGGCAGTTTCCACCTTTTTCTTTGTGGCGGCTCTTGGCCGGCTTTTCGCCGGTTTTCCGTGACACCAGCCCTATGAAGTACCCATCGCCCTACAAGTGCCTTAAATATGCTGAACTGATAGTCATATAAATGTTGTTCCAGTCGATGTGTGATATCTCGGTTTGTGCATACAGCATCATTTTAGAATCTGCAAATTAATACGAAAATTTTTTTGCTGACCTGTTGGTAAGCAGCATTATAGACGCCAGCCTGAGTGACCAGTACTGGATTGAGCAAACCCATTTGGGCGGCCATTTGCTGCATTCGGCGCAACTGCCGCTCCTTCTCCGTGTCAGCAAATTTGACCACAAGCGATGAGGAAGCACCGGGCATCGTCTGGCTACCGTGCAATGCGTTGATTGCCATTGCTGCTTGAGAATGCGATGCAAATTTGACGAATGCA